CCGCTACTCGTCCAGATGGTTGGGATGAAATATTAGTTTATGGCGGGTTGTACGATGGTGAAAATCAGCAGCAGGTATCAATCCGAACAATTCTTCAGAGCACTTCCCATGATAATTTTTTCCCCACTTCGATTCTGCCCTGTATACCTAATCACACAACAAGTGATCACGCATTCCAAAGTAAAAAAGTCGACATTAGATGCAATAAAATTTCCCCCGCGTCAAGGTTGTCGCGGTGCAGCACGGATGCGGCACCAGTGGGTGTCGTAATGTGGTAATGACACAATAATATAAATAGGATTAGTCGGATCGGGACCCCACGCGCGCAGACAGGACGCGCCAATACACGCATAAGTCACAGTGGTCACGATTCTGCACATTGTAGAAATAAAATCTAATTACCTCATACCGTTTATGTGTCCATTAAAATACGTGCATATTACGATCAAGAGAGATAAAGAAAGCTGTTTATTTTTTTTTTTTTATTTATAGGGGAAAATGGAATGGTGACCCAGCTGCTCTAATACGAGTACCTAATTACGGAGGGGCACCAGTGAGAGATATTAGAAAACGAAAGCAGGTTACTTTGCTCATCGTGACGAATTTACAAGAATTAACCACGATAGTTTTAGGGAGAACTGCGTAGAGCATATTGTAGTTGATAGACCCCATTACTAACATTCGGGGGAAGGGATTGTTAGTAATGGAGGTCTAACAGCCCCATTCCTAACGAAGTACCCTATCAATTCGTCACGATGCGTTAACTGACCTGCTTCATCCTCACTTATTATCTATCGCTAGTGCCTCGCCAGCATACCGATAGCGCAGGCGAGGTTACTATTTCATTTTCATCCCATTAAAAAAATATTAACATTCTTTTTCTCCACAAATAAAGATGTATTTACATGATTTGAAATATAATGTATCGAAACTGCACGAAAATATGTATTTTTGATATCCAATATACAAGCTAGGCTTAGTTTAAACACTAATGTGCTGACTAAATACGTTTACTGACCGGGATAAAGATTAGCCAACATCCTTTTCCATCCCATATAGTAAGTGTATAAGTAAATTTCATAGTGATTGATTAAGCTATTGAAGCGCTGTAAGGTAACAAACAAATTCACTTTCACATTTATAATATGGTAAGGATTTTTTTTATTTAACGTTTTGACTAGCAGTGTATACAGAGTCCGCGGTGTGCTGACGTCACTTGCGGCATCGAATGCGCCCGCGCATCGTTTTGACGATTCATTGCTCTATTAATGTCGTTTATACAAACGGCTCGTCGCGTACACGTGGGTCTCTACTAATATGTGCAATTGAATTTCATTGTCATTTTCCTCTCGCGAATATTGTTAATTCTGATAGGATTATATCTGTTATGGCAATTGAAAACGGCAAAAAAGACGATTGCCCATCTGATTGAAAATGGTGACCGTGGCTTATAGACATGACCTACCACTATGAAAAACACAAAACATAAATGTTGCCATTTCTAAGGACTATGGTATTATATTTTACTACCTAATAATGCCGTTATATTTAAACGTTTAAACAATTATGCAATTACAGAGTTTTGCGGTAAAATACTAGTACGATTATTGTAATTGTTTGTGTTTATAACAAGTATAGTTGATGTGTAGTCTCGGCATAGAATGGGCCACCCCTTTCTTTTCTGTGGGTGTCGTAAGAGGCGCCTAATGGAATTTAATTTTCAAAGAATGGGCCGCAGTGTCCCTCTTAAAATATAACCAAAGCCTAACTGTGGTTGCCGACCCGCCTGCTAAGCGTCGTAACTATTGGCAAAACCCCCAATAGGGGGAGGCCTATGTTCAGCAGTGGACAGTTAATGGCTGATATGATATATGGATCGGTCATTCATCCAGCAATAATAATGTATTTTTAGTATATTTCGTGTTGTCCATGGTTCTGTTCATGTTTATAAACGATGGTTCCCATCAGATGGGCTGTCAATTAGTGTGCGATTCTAAGTTACATAAAAAACTATTTTCCATTCAAATATTAACACTTTCTATTCTACTTCCATTATCCTTTCTTTATAGATAATTCTCGTTTCCATGTAGAGTCGTGGGCACCGTTATGCCATCTTTCTTTAACGCTTCTTTGCATAATGGTAAAAATCTCCATCATAACATTAAATGTCCAAAAATTATATAAAAGAACAAGTTTACTTTAAGTTGATCGTGTCTGGATACCTTTTTAATGCCTATTACAGAAAAAATAATATAGTTTCTTTTTATACAACTTAGAAAGGCAAACAAGCTGACGGCCCACCTGATGGAAAGTGGTAACCGTCGCCTATAGACATGAGCAGTACCATGGACATAAGAGAGTATACTGTTTCGCCCATGATATCCCCCATGCGTTGCCATTCCTGAGGATTCAGGTGTTAATCCTCTGTACCCAGTAAATTCACACTATATCCCACCCTTCAAACCGAAACACAGCCATGCACACACAACTGCTTCACGGTTGAAATAATGGGACAGAGGTACCCAAGCAATCGACTTTTGTATAAAGTCTCCCTCTGGTAAAATGTGTCAAATTTATTTTTTTAACCGTACTTCCTGAAAATTATATTTTTGAAACATGAATTATATCACCTTGATTTATTTCACCAATAAAAAAAAACTTATGCTAAGAAGGGTTAAGTGTTATGTCACAGTGCACAGAGCGTGTAGCGCATAGATTCACTCGCACAATAGCGTACACTGACGTGCGCAATTTTCTCATCGAAATTAATTGATTTATGTGAGTTATGCTGATACCAGTATCCTTACAATGTGACCGGTAAGGATACAAGTATATCCTAGGTATTCATTTATCTTCACTAAACTATGTATTTGATGAAACAGCACAAAGAAGTGTGTTTTGTATTAGTTGTAATTTAGCTTTACAACACAGGGGTAAACGAGCATACGGCTCACCTGATGGTAAGTGACTACCGCCGCCCATGGTCACCCACAACACCTACGGCATTGCAAGTGTGCCGCCGGCCTTTTAAAAAGGAATATGCTCTTTTCTTGAAGGTTATGTTGTCGTATCGTTTTAATAGTAATTTGTCAATTACTACTTTAATTAAATTCACTCAGTTGTTTCATATAATAAAAATAAATATATTCACGACTATAATGGTCCCTAATAGAGTAGCTAGAAGTATTTATCAGCTGTTGCCGTTGTGGTGAACGTAACTTTCGACATATTTATATTTTGCCGTGTTTAAATTTTGCTTTTCGTCAATTTTCATAATATTTAATTGACGGAAAATTGTAATTGCCGGCTTTTCTATAGATATAAATACTATGATACGACCATAATCACGATCTCCAGGACATCGTAAGAGCTTAGAGTAAGTGCAAAAACATAATATGCTAACGCATAAAAGGACAATTCCAAGCAAAAACCTATATTAAGCTACCTGACTAAAGAGTTATAAAATATTTTAATGCAATGAAATGATTGGATTGATGTATTGGGACTGTTATGGGTTATATTTATGATAATATCACAGAAAATCCTGTGCCACTCATGGCATCCCTCATGGCTTGTCCCACTCCTTAACACTAAAGTTACTAAATACTATACTTGTATATCAGTATAAAAGATAAATAAAAATTATATCGTTTAAAATTTTATAAGTACTTACACTTTATAATTTAAAGCACATATAAGGCGCGCAATCAGACTCGCGCTCGCGTTACAACCGCTCATAATTAAGGGTTTCGAATTGGTCCCGAAACCAGTTAAGCTATCTCTATCTAATTACACGAAAGTTAAACCAGTAGTTATTACATTAAAATATAAATAAAAGTAATATAAAAAATAAACAGGTCTTGTAATTGGATATTTCATTGTTTGTGATATGTTTATCCATAAACAATGGAATATTTAATCGCAGGACGTGGTTATTCCACGTTATGTTTAACTATCTGCAGATACACTGTATATACTACGAGTATATTGACACAATCTCATCTATATTCAATCAAACACCTAGCCTTATAAATAACCGTGTTTAGGAGATCATGCTTTGCAATTAGATCGTGCGCCGATCGCGGTCGGGATCTATCGTTTGATTGCGCATGCGCACCTCAAGGACCCCTCAGCAATGGCGCCTTATTATTAAAAGCGGTGTCGTTTATATGTTAATTTGACATAGTATTAGATCGATATTGTAATGCCAACTCTGAATAGAGATTGAATTTTATTGTTCTTTCTTTATGGTGTCATGGCGTCGGATGAAATTAATGTGACATTATAGAAAGTTAAACTATCTATTCCACTGTAGGAAATAATAAGTATTGTCTACGCATATAGAGAGAAATAATAGTCTATGCATAGCAACAGTGTTCGACAAGCAATTGCTATTTACCCTATGGACTATATGCCCATGTTCATGTGATATTGGCGTTTGGCTCTTGACGTTTGGAGGCATGGTGTTAGTGTAGAGTTTCTTTAACATGTCAACGTTTTTTTTAAGGTTAATTCTCTCTTTTTTTTTAATTCAGTTTCAAAGGTCACTAGTAGGTCAATGAATTCGATTTTATCCAGTATAATAATGTTTGTTTTTTGAGGTTTCGGGTTTGTTTCCCGATTGAACTAATTTAGGAAACGAACTTATATTTTATTTAAAATGTAAGATGATAAAAAAATTTACGATCTTTTACTGCTTAGTAGGTAGTTTGTATTCACACATATTCATAATTTATATAATTAAACTTTTGGAAAAAAACAACAGCTGAGTTACTTCGCTTTTCTTCTTGACTGAAATTGAGTTTCGAATGGGCAGTATTGAAAAAAATTAATAAGATTATTCGAAAATGGTTAAATCTTCTTCTTTTTTTTTAGCTTGCTTGAGTCTGAGCCCTAGATGTTTGTTGCCTAGTTTCCCATAGCACAGGGTATGCTAACTTTTGAACCGGTCGACTGGTGTATTGTGTGGCATTTATTATTATTTATACTGTTTCTTTCAGTTGGCGAGCGGTGGCGGCGGCGGCCGTGGCCTGTTCTGCTACCACTGTCCGCCGAGCTTGCCGCCCCATCAGCACCGACTACCCACGCTGGAGTATCCTTTCACGGCGTCACATCCGTGTGAGTAAATTATTTTATTTATACTATCATCATAGAATTCTATGTTATATATTATTTATCTATGATTAAGGATTATTATTATTTCGACTTCACCTAATATTGTTAAGTCAGGGTGAAAGAGATTGTTAGTATTGGGTTCTATCATAGTCCCATTGCTAGCAATACATCCTATTAGGTCGACCTCCACGCGATTCCCCCTGGAAATCATCATGATTAATTCTTGTGGAATTCGTCACGTTAGTTCAAATGATCTGCTTTCATTCTTATCTATTATCTGTTATTGGTGCCCCGCCAACATATACTGACAACGCACGCGGGGTCGCCATTCCATTTTCATACATAATAATAAAACAAGTAGGTATAGAAGGACAAAAACAAAAAAATAAACAATTTATAATGGCAGTACTAGATGACTAGTAGTAAAAGTTTATAATTTTCATGAATCACCATTTATTAAAATTTAAAACTTTTTCGATACATCTAACGTTACAGATCTATTTTTTTAACGCGCCACCTACCTATTTATGCTTTAATTCCTTCTACTCAAAGGTTGTCTGGAAGATTGCTTAGCAATAAGACCACCTTTTGTACTACATACTATACGTATTGAAAATTGTTCAACAAATCCTGTTATGTTGGTGCAATAAAGTGTTGAATAAATAAATAAATAAATCTATTTATAGCTTAAATTTTGAAGCAAAGAATATAATATTCTTTTACTCTGATCTTAGTTTAACATTTATTCAATCGTGGTTAAATTATGCCAATCGTTTCATAATTATGCATGCAATAACAAACATCTTTTATTGTTTAAATTCTGCATCTAATGGTTAGAAAATGTGTGTCGACATGTCTATGGTAGTCTCAGTATAGAAGTTTGCGAACCAGTTTCAAACTAAATTGATGTTACCACATAAATATATCTATAGTTTTACGAATGTCTATTGCTTGATCAAGTTTCTTAATAAGCCATTATGAACAATTAGAGTTATAGATCCCTTGACAAATTGTTAGTATTAAGCAGATAGTGAACTCAATAGTAAATTTGTCGTTACCATCCAAAGCTAGTGATGTAACTATACTTACGAATACAAGAGCCGTCGATTAGGTTCACTTATTGGTCGGCAAACTTCGCTAACCGAGTTTATAAGCCACGACTCCACTCTAATGCCATTATTGCCAGTTAAAGCTCTTGTCTTGTTTCGACTGGCAACTCGATTTTGAACGCAAACTCGATTCGATTTCAATTATAAATCGATGAGTGGAATCTGTGCGGGCGGGTTTTTAAATTTTATTAGGGAACTTCGCGTTTTATTTATAGATACTTACCTATAGGTTTTACATGTTTTTTTTTAAGGATTGTTTTATATAATACTAGCTTTTACTACGACTTCACCTGCGTGACCAGGATATTTTTGTTAATAAGGATAAAAAGTAATCCTTGTATGTCCCATATAGTTCGTGTATATTAAATTTCATAGTGTCTGATTACCGTTAAGACGCTACATGGTAACAAACAAACAAATTCACTTTTACTATATTGTAAGAAAGATTCTGTTTTCCGCACTTAGCCTCTCATTTGGGCCGTTGTGCGTCTTTCACTATATTATTATGTATTGAATATTAGATTAATTATTTATTGTATGAAAAGAAAACGGAATGTTAACTCTTAAGCTATTTAGTTCATGTTACCGTACGATGATAAGTATGGATGAACTTAGGTCAGTTGGCCCATTGTCATGTTGGCCCCTATCGGTTGAAGTCGACTTTATAGAGATACATATATTTCTAGCAATGGCCTTGTTATTAATGAACGTTACTTTTTTTTGTATTTTCTATTTTTGTGAGATGATGAAATGTAAATAAATACCTACTAATTTCTTTGAATAAAATTAAAAGTAAGTAACTATAGTTAAACATAGATTATAATATAATCTGCGGGTTTACTTCCTAAAAAAACTTGTAACACTTTTTTTTAATAACTTTCTTTAGTCCTTTCTTTTGCTATTTAATTGTACTTTTTGCTTCAGTCGTAATTATTTTTCTGCCTTATTTTCTTCTATCTGCTGTTCTAATTTATAATAATTTAGGGGGAAAAGGATTGTTAGCAATGGAGTTTGACAGCCCCATTGCTAGCAATATACCTTATTAGGTCGACCTCCACATAGTTCCCCCTGGAAACCATCGTGAACAATTCTTGTTGAATTCGTCACGATAGGTTAACTGATAGCGCGGGTGGGGTTACCATTCCATTACAATCCTCCATTTAAAAAAAATATCATCATTAGAATTATAGTTGTATATATATATATATATATATATATATATATATATATATATATATATATATATATATATATATATATATATATATATATTTGAGTAGGTAAGTATATACATATTTTAGTAGTAAACGCGCTGCATATTTAATTTTCTGCTTGTCTCATGGTTGACTGATAGAGAACGCCATCAGGTGTTAAGTCCGCCATATGTACACTTATTTATATTATATAATTGTGCATTGCAGTTTAAATAAATAAATAAATTATCTCAGACTCACCTATTTATTAAATAAAATTGTCTAAGCTAATCTGTCGGAATGTTCACGAGCACCCTATAATAGTATCAAAAGGAAGAAATCAGTTTCTTTCTCGCTGTCCCAACTCGCGTGCCCAAGGGGTGGTAATGTGCTAATGAATAGAGAAGGCAGGCCAGGGGTGCGGGGGTGCGAGCCCCAGCGGGGGACGGCGCCAGGGGCGCGCGGGGCGCCTGTGGGCGGGGCTCCCTGGGGATTGGTCGCAGCCGGCGGCATCTATTATTCATAAAATAGTTTTTCAGTCGCGCCGTCGGTCGCTTTAACTCGGTTACATTCGTTAACTTAATAAGGATCATGTCACTTTTGATTAGTCCCAGTGCGCAACTGTTTTTTACAAAGTACACAACGATCAAAGGCTCGGCAGTAACCTCGTTAGCGACTGGCCTTATTTCGTTTGGGGCCCAAAATGACAGCTCGCCCGTCACAGTAATTCTATAAATGTTTTAATTTTTAAAATCTATTAACAAATTGTTGGAGTTTATGGCGGCGAGGTCAGCGGGTTGGAAGGGGGTGGGGGGGTGAAGTTTTAAAAAGCCCGACGAGTCGGTCCGCGCCACTAGTGAATAAAAAGCGGCTTAAACGAATCTATTAAAAATGCATAAGGCAATTTTCAGCGTTCTGTTGGAACGCGCCGCGGTCTCAATAGCGTAGTCATAGACCGCCTTGTCTAGCTCAGGCATTGAAGTGACACTGTATACTGTACAGTACACAACTATTTAAAATTGATTTTAAATAAATAAAATAATAATAATACATATATAATTAAATCATAATCTATTAATGTATTTATTATTATTTATTATATAGATACTGCAGTTATTGTTACAGATAGGTAAACTTAGTGAAATTTTACTTACAATTGGTAAAATAAAAATAAAAAATAATAAAATATAATTATTAAAATATCTAATGAATTAATTAAGACATCAAAAACATAAATATGAAATGAATGCCAAGTTCAATATTAAGAATATGTGTCGTTTCGCCTCCTCCGAAAAAAGAGTTGAGATTTATATGGATGCCAAGTTCTGTGTGGAGAATCTTCCAATTTACAAGTTAGAAGAACATGCAACATTATAAAATGAATTTATATAACGATTTCTTGTTTCTTGGTACTATTACCATGTTTGCTATTTAATAGACATTACAAACTCTTAAATCAGTATTATATAAATAAACTTTATATATTATTTATACTTGGAATATAATTTAATCTCGAGATTTAGCTTGGCTAGTTTTTATATATAGCCTGCTGCAGATTTTCACCATCATACAACCCGCCATAAACTAAAATTTCATCCCAACCATCTGAACGAGTGGCGGTCCTCCACCGTGCGTTTTTCAAGGCACTTTCTCTCACGCACAACCACTCTTTGGAATCAACTTCCAGCAGCAGTATTTCCGAACCGATACGACAACATAACCTTCAAGAAAAGAGCATATTCCTTTTTAAAGGCCGGCAGCACACCTGCAATGCCGTAGGTGTTGTGAGTGACCATGCGCGGCGGTAGTCACTTACCATCAGATGAGCCGCATGCTCGTTTGCCCCCTGTGTTGTAAAAAAAAATATATAGGCTGTAAATAATATATGTATAATTCCAGCTTATTTTATATTATTTACATCTATATAAAATCTAATACATTACAATGTATTTAGCTATATAATCCAATAAATTATAAGTTCCAAGTTGGGACATCATGACAATCTTCTCTGAGACAATGTCATTTCGTATCGAAGGTTGAAGACTTAGTGATAAGTATGGCGATTTTTACTGCCATTTTGAAACGGGACCTATGTGGTTACACTTGATATAAATTCCAATAAATCGATATTAATCGAACCTTGCGCACTCTTGAATTGCAATACTAGTGACGTAACAGTTCCATATTGTTCTGATAGATGCATATTAACGTGGCTTGCCAATGAAAACTATTGTAAACCGATCCCAATTATAACCTAATTTCGAACTGTTGTTTCATGAATGCAGTATAAAATTGTTATTGGAAATAGATTGGAGTGATATTGATATTAGATTCTAGAGTAGAGTTGCTGGTTCCTTATTACAAACTTAAAAACTTGACCAATTCACGTCACGTGATTAAAAACAAGCTTGCTTTATTTGTAAATTTAGGGCCAATTTGCAATGCAACTCAATTTAACCTTTTTTTTATGCAACTTAGAATGGCAAACAAGCTGAAGGCCCACCTGATGGAAAGTGGTAACCGTCGCCTACAGACACGAGCAGTACCATGGACATAACAGAGTATTTCGCTCATGATACCTCCCATGAGTTGTCATTCCTGAGGACTCAGGTATTATTCCTGTGTACCCTGTAAATTCACTGTCATATTCCATCCTTTAAACCGTAACACAGCCATGCAAACACAACTGCTTTACGATAAAACACGAATGGGATAGAGGTGCTCAAGCAAACGAATTTTCTACAAAGTCTCCATCTATGAAACTATCCAGTTATAAGCGTTTACAATAAACCCCCGTGTTTCGGAACACGAACCGCTGGCTTAGATTTTTTGACAATGAAGTCTGCCTGGTGTTTCAGTAACATTAGATTCAGAAGACTGCTCTATTTATTCTGTTTTATGTGGCTTAGATACAGCAGACTATTTTGTTTTATGGTGTTTAAAATTTTAGCTATAATAATAATTAAATTTTACTTATGTATTTGTAATTACATATACATAAGTAAAAGTATAAGAAAAGAATATTACATTACCATATTGTGTGAAACATTTAACATTTACGGAAATACAAACAATAATCTTGGTAAATATCAGAAAATACTTAAAGTTATAAAGAATGGTGATTTAGGTACTTGAGTTTAAAAACAACTACTTATTCACGCGCCTTAGAAAATACTTAATACTTGTACAAAATATATACTTATTAAATGGTTAGTTAATCCGTCCAGTTTCGGCCAACTTTTTCCACTGCACTCAAGCCAGCCACTCCGACCGGACGCGAAGCACTTTTTAATTTCCGCTGCCAGGGATTTTTCTATGCTGCTCTGATGGCCGTTCAATTATTAACATTCAATTAATGAAAATATTTATAATCCCCAGTAATCTGCACGTTTTACACTGACTTGGGACTAGTCGAGCACGAAACGAGTTCTTATTTAAAAAAATGGGGTTTAATTGTTTTTGCAAACAAAGATGCTTACAAATCTCGAAGTTTCTTTTTTTTTTGTAAAAAGGATCGCTTCCCGGAGTAATTTCCTCGGAACGTTCGTGCACTTTTATAAAATGAGAAACGCCTCTGAATATGTAACGACGAAACTTGGTTGAATGACCGTAATACGGTCATAATTTTAATCATAATGAACAAAACATGTTAATATCACATTACTGGGCAAATATCTCTTCCTAATCTTATCTTAATATAATGTGATTTGTAGGTTTTAACATAAATGATTTAATCCTTACTAATATGGAAATGGAGACGTGTGATCCTGGCGCAGAATACGCCACCCCTTCCTTTCCCGTAGGTGTTGTAAGAGTCGACTATGGGAGGGCGAGGGATGGGCAGCAGCGTTCCTCTTAAAACATCTCTAAAGCCTAACTGCGGTTGCCAATCCGTCTGTCAAGCGTGGCAACTACTGGCAAAATCCCCCAAGGGGGAGACTCATGTTCAGCAGTGGACAATTAAAAGCTGATATGATGATGATGATGATGAATGGGGAAATGAGTTTGTTTGTTACGTTATATCGTCTTAATGGTTTAATAAATTAAAATTTGGTATGCGTGTACTGTATGCGATAGAGAAAGGTACTTTTTATCCTGGTCAGTTAATATGCACGGTTACGCGAAGGAAGTTTCGGGCAAAAGCTAGTCTTAAATAAAGTATTTACCTCCCATACGTTTCGAGTAGATTGCACTAGCCGTTATAATGAATAATTTTAACAATAGTGATATCAGTAGTATCTTCAATTACAGGCAATTTTCTTCAATCAACTACCAGAGGGAGACTGTAGAAAAATCGTTTGCTTGGGCACCTTTGTTCTATTTGCGTTTCAACCGTGAAGCAGTTGTGTTTGCATTGTTGGTTTGGTTTGAAGTGTGGGATATGGCAGTGAATTTATAGGGTACAGAGGCATAACACCTTAATCCTCAGGAATGGCAATGCATGAGGAATATTATGGGCGGTTACTTTGTTAGTTTGTTTGCTATTCTAACATGCATAAAAAAACTGTTAACTATATTATGTTACTACAGTAACCACAGCTAGTGTACATAACTTAGAAACGTACGTTTAGGCAATTTTTATCCTATCCTATATTTATTATGATATATCAACATTGATATTTAAGCAGATACTTTATTTTACAAGACAAACGTGCTTGCATCAGGGACAAGTGGAACTGGCGCTCTTGCATGGTATATTTATTATCTATCTCACGAATTAAGTCTGAAATATATCTGAATATATTTTAGTTCATATACAGTTCATTATAATATTTATAATAGTGGACTTACATTTGTATAATCATTTACATAACTCTTATGTGGTTTGTTAGTCTGTATTGACAAATATCTATGATTATAAAATCAACTATTTAAAAAAATAAACAATATTTGAGATTCTTCTCCATTCATGTCACCTGAAATAGCATTCTGAATGGGCGGTAGAAATATAAAAAAAAAATACTATTTATAAATCTTATCGTCATTTTATGTTATCTATGTATGTACATTATTAGTTGTTATTTTCTTTACCTATTCCTAATAATGAAATATCGCGTTCGTGCTTCATTGTTCATTCCAAAGGTTGACTGGTAGAGAATGCTACTAGGATTAAGTTCGCCTTTTGTGCCATGTTTTCTTTTGGTTAATAAAGTTATTTAAATAAATAAAAATAAATAAGTATTAAACCTGAAAGTTTAAAAGTAATTTCCTATTCTACTTACCTAGACAATATTAAGTACAAGGCCGACAAGCCTTACATGCATTTTCGAGTTTTTTTTGCCTTGTACGTTTGTATATATATGTTTTCGGTACTTTATTGTCCAGGCTAATAATATTTATTTATTTATTTAATGCTTTACTGTACACACTAATTATACAAAAAAAAAAAAATATGACAGAGGTAATTAAATGTAGAAAGGCGAGCTTAACTCTAAGTATTCTCTTACAGCAAACTCAAAGTGGAAAGGAGCACCAATGTCAACGGATAGAGCGGTGTACAATAATACATAGAGATGTATATTAGAAAAAAAAAATTGTACAAAAGCAAGCTTAACACTGTAAGAGTTTTTTCAGCAAAACCCAATTGCAAAAAATCATCATTGCTCACAAGTTATTCTTATACCATCACTATATTAAACATGAACACTCCTAATCATATTCATTCCACCATTTTCTAAAGTTTTCATATAAACTGTACGTATTGAATTTTTCTTGGTCATTCAGAGCTGTGCATATATTACATCCGTCAATAGTTCCAATTGTCTCTTCATACACGAAATGGTTTCTCCACCTGAAGAAGTCGTAGTACCGAGTCTTGTTCTTGATAATTTCATCCATTGCTTTCGCCAGCTTTTCTGGACCCAATTCTCTAGCATTCAGGTATGCCCCGGGTGGAACAAACCTGTAATGAAATTATTGAATTTTTAGAATTTGAACACAGTATAAGTGATATTGCTAAAGTACAGTATATAAACTCTTTGTCCACTACTGCGATCTGACCATGTCAGCTACCATACTGTAATGGCTATCTCTAGTTTACGCTTTTACAACTGTTGATATCTGAAAAGGACGAAGGATACAGTATTTACAAGGTATGTAGAGGACAACTTCACAACTCACATAATACAATAGATCGAAGCGTGCGCTTTTCTCGCGCTATCCCTAATTACACACGTACACATTGTCACATATACAAATGTTACTTGTTTCTGCAGTTGTAACAATCACGAGCATGGCGGTTTTGTGTGAAGTGTCGCGTCATTTAAATCAACTTTGTTACAAGTATACAATCTTTGTGGTAAAAGGTCAATGTATTTTATAATAGCTTGCAACACCAAACATTACTTCTACATTTTTTAATCTGGTAACAAAGATTATATATTTTACATCAGTAAAAAGATCATGAAATACACCCTACCTATGCATCAACATCGTAATAAGACCTCTAATAATAATAGTATTCGATTATTATATGTTGGAAGTTCTACGCATATTAATGGTAGCAAAATGAATCAAAATAACTTTAATTAAGTAACCAGTGATATACACTTCCGCAAGATAACACTTCATGTTCATCATCATCATCACATCAGCTATTATCTGTCTACTGCTGAACATAGCACTCCTTCATTGACTGCCACAAAGAACAGTCCTGAGCCACTTGTATTCACTGAATTCCTGCAATGCATTTGAGGTCGTCACTCTATTTAGTAGGGAATCATCTTACACTGCTTTCGCTCTTACGGAGTCGCCACTCAAGAACCTTTCTTCCTTATCGATTGTCTGTTCTTCGAGCTATGTGACTAGTCCATTGCCACTTCAGCTCGCTTATCCTTCAGTCTATGTTGGTCACTTTGATTCTTTTGCGGATATCCTTATTTTAGATTCTGTCATACAAAGAAACTCCGAGCATAACCTTCTCCATAGCCTGTTGAATAATTTAAAGCTTACGGTTACGGACAACACGGACACGGTTATATCACTATCATTGGCAACACGCAGCATTAAAGAACTTCGTCTTCACATTTTGAGGTACTTTGGATTAGAAGTTGTGGCGTAATATTTCAAATACTGCCTAGCCGAGTTGGATTCGTCGGTTGACGCCTTGATCTAAATTGGACTTAGATGAGTCGTCCCAGGTATATATACTCGTCGACAATTTTGAGCATAGTGTTGTCCGTAGTGACATGAACATTAGACATTGATATTTATACCTTATCTTTTTTAGTTCAGGAGTTTGAAAACATCTTCCAAAGCAACAGCGAAAAGTTTCAGGGATATGACGTCACCCTATCTTACATCTTACTGCACTAAGATGGATTTCATACTCTGGTTCTGTACTCGGATAGACATCGTAGCCTTACTATAGATCCTCTTTAGTACGTTGATATATCTACAGTCAATCTCACACCGCTGGAGGGACTGTAGTAGCGCCCATGTCTCGACCGAAGACATGGGGTCCTCAAAGTTCACAAACGCCAGACATAGTAGCAGATTATACAGTTCTGCCTTTTGTATAATCTGTCGTAGCATATGTGTGTGGTTTATGATGCTAAAGCCCTTTCGGAAACCAGTTTTTTCGAGTGATTGGAAGTTGTCGAGTTTGAGCGTAAGACAATTGATCAGGACTCTCAAAAACATTACGTAGACGCGATTTAAAAGATATGTCGGCCTAGTCAATAGTATATTTGTCACCGTTATGGATGACGAAATTAAATAGCTTCTGAAGGACTACTTCGGGGTTTTTTTAGTGAGGGCATACGAAGGTCGAAGCGTAAACTTCATCAGACGAGAAATTTCCCGTCTAATATTTACTTTAAATGTGTCTTTTACCATTTGGTTATCACTTCCGACTTTTTTCAATCTGTTGATAACATCTAATTTAGTAAAATATTTGGACGAATTTATAAAATCCTAAAAATGGTAATCTATAGGTAGATAAAAATGTTTGAACATAGTACTTTAATTGGCAAACGAGGATAAAATTAAAGCATATGACAGTCATATAAACTGCAATACTCGTAGGTGAGTCGAGATTTTGTGATTATCCTTAAATAAAAAGTGGATTTATACTGCATAATCAATACCTACTCCTACCTACAACAACACAAAATGAATTTAAATTAGTTTTAAAGGTTAATAAATTTCATTATTAAAGAAATATTTTCCTGGAGCCAATTTTATCTCTTATATAATATACAGCTATGTGACTTCCCATTATAAGTAGGTATACATTATTTATATAAGTTAAACTTTAATTAGATTCAAAATGAAAATAAGACCTTGAATAATTGGCTGCTCCAAACACAACCGGTACAGCATAATTGTTCAAAGCGGTCAGAAGCTTCTCCGTGACGTAATCTTCAGCAAAAGAATTCTCAAAAGAGAAATAGAAATAGTAATCTTTCTTTATTAATTCATAGCAAGATTTCGAATTACTTCTGGGACACTTTAATTCTCCACACTTTCCGTAAATATCAACTGACCAACCATATTTAGCTAATTCTATTTGAATTTTAGTGACCTCAAGCTCTCTGTGACTTTTAGAATTGCAGTTGGACACGAACCAAGCTGCAGCTTTCGATTTATTAACTAAATTGTTCTGAATTTCTATACCTATAGGGTCCATATCCGGCCAGTGCATTTCTAATTTTGGCCCAACAACTATACCATTCAAGTCATAAATTGTTATGTATCCCCAATACACTTCAGAGTCTAATCTGTAAGTCCACGTCCAGTTAAAGAAGTTGTCATAAATGGGATTTTGAATAGGATAATAATGAGCCGATTCAGTTGCAGCGAAGACATATTTCTGTTTTGTGGATCTTTTCGGCGGTAATTTTAATATCTCGTGATCGATTTCATTACCGTGAAAGAGTACAGCATCAAAGCGCGTTACGTCTGACAAATAATTTGGATCATCGGTCATTATACAGTTCGTGTATGGGCAGTTATACTTAAAGAAGACAGAATTATCTTCGCCTATGACGTAAAATGGATATGAGCCATCTTCGTGCCATTGTAGAATGTATTTCACATCTACATTACTTTTCTCGTATAGTTCTTGTCTGTCTTCATCTTTCGATGTTGTTTCTGCATTTGCTTCTATGTTTTTACGGCTGAATATATCAAAGAGAATTGGTTTATTATTGTTTCTACCAAGTATGTAAAGTGCAGCGCATATATTTAACAAAATAGTGAAAATTGCAATTAAAGTAACATGCTTAACGATACAATGCCGACCGACAGAAAGGTTTATTGTTATTTCTGAATTCATTTTTGATTTATTAATACAAATATCACTAGCAGCATATTTTGAAGCAGTAAACAGCACGTTTGATTTTATGGCACACACACAGACACACAGAAACAGTTCGGATACGACTGATAAGTATAGCCACGCGTAGTGGATTTATATATTTTGACAGTTTAATGTACGCTACAGAGAAATCACATTATAAATGTCCTAATGATATTACGAGTATAAATGCATAAGTTTGTAGTGATGGATAGATGGGTGGTAGTTACTATTTTACGCAAAAACTACTCGGTCAGATACATATCGGATTGGTATATGATATATATATATATATATAAATATATATATACATACATACATACATATATATATATATATATATATATATATATATATATATATATATATATATATATATATATATATATAAATTCTCGTGTCGTGGTGTTTGTTACCATTTTTATTTTTATTTTATTATGATTTAGCATTGAAAAAACATACAAATTAAAATTTTCACGCTTTTAAGATCAACCTCTGTTTTTTAATCGCGATTTTTATATTCCGCAATAGGGTTGCAAGATGGCAATCGAATATAATAATTGTAGTAGGATAAATTTTCATGTATAGTTCTCGAAATAATGTATATGGTAAAACAACGTTTGCCGAGTCAGCTAGTATATATATATATATATATATAATAATAATAATAATAATAAATATATACGGACAAATCACACAGATTGAGCTATATATATATATATATATATATAATACATACATACATATATAGATAAACATCTACTCAGTGTTTTCCATCATGTATCGAAATTATGTATATATATATATATATATATATATATATATATATATATATATATATATATATATATATATATATATATATATATATATATACCTACTGTGAGTAAAATTATGTTACGTTGTGTCTGTATCTGTGTTGCGTATTCCTCTGTGGTAATTTGTTTACATTTTATGAATGCTAGTTTAATTATAGCAGACTATGGATGTATACATGCGTTGATGATGATGAATGTGCTTCAGCGAAGTTGAACCTTAGTCACTAAGGCAGTTATCAAGTAGATATATATTTATATAACTCTTTATAACACCAGAAATATAAAAATATACAATGACAATTGAATAATTCAAGTGAATTACAGTAACATAAATACAGATTAATATATATACATAAAGGTACAAAATGCGGTCTTATCGTTAGAGCTATCTTATACAGACAACCTTTAGTTAAAGGAGAACAGATAGAAGTTGGTAGGTGGCGCAAGAGTGAATTATTAATACCTATATATATATATATATATATATATATATATATATATATATATATATATATATATATATATATATATATATATATATATATATATATATATATATATATATATATATATAAGTAACAAATATATATATATATATATATAATAATACTTGTCTTAGGTCCATATCTAAAATATCCTGTATTCATTATCAGTACATTTTATGTAGATAAATATTTAAATTTATATTTTACAAGAAGAAATAGAACCCAATTTGAATTGGAAAAAATCTATCAGATCTAGGAAACTTTTAATAGAAGTTTTTGCAACTATTGCGATACTTAAAAC